TAGATACGAAATAGCTTTAAAATAGTCCATGTACTATTTGAATTGTAAATCGTAGACTGCATCGAATTCATTAAAATGTTTTGTCTACAACCAGTAACTTGTATTTTTTCCGGCAAGAAACACAGCTCCTAATAATATTTATGAACGATAAGAGTATCTTCCCATTAATGCGAAAAATGAAGTTTTCTAAAAATGTTACTTAGTCTTATGATTACCGAGTAATAAAAGTTTAACGTTGATGTTTAATGAATTTCAAAATAAATGATAATAAATGAAAACTTTAATGTTTTCCCAGAACTTTTGTTATGAATTGAAATTTAACATCGTGGAATTTTTTATACTCTTTTATTCAAGAGAAGAAACCTTTTGAATTCGTAATTTAAGAACTGATAATTCCGTCGCGTTAAGTTAATGATTGTTTCTTTCATTATATAAATTTTAACAGCTTCAATCAATTTTCCTTTTTAAAAGGTATCAATTTTTTTACATTGTCATCTGTTTAATCTATAAAATCAACATGTTTTTTATGGTGAACCCCCTTTATAGTAAACAATTTCAAGTGAGCATTTCCATTTGATTTCCTGATATCGCTGCAACTAACATGAAGCGCTAAAGTAAAGTAAATGTAATAAATATTAACCAGAACCTGTTCCCGATAACGCTTATCTCGGTGTACTTATTATAAGGGAAGAGAACGAAAGTGTAATCTATAATAACCCCTCTCAGAAAACACGAGGCGCGCATTTTCTGGTGCACATTAAAGAACATGAGTATTTTCCACAAAAATGGCCGAATAAATTAAGCGGGTTTTTGGCGCAAGAGACAAAGTCAAACCAAACAACAGTTGGGTAAATACGAAATAGACCTGGGGAGCCACGGCTGATCGTTTCCAAAGTGTTTATGCCAGCCGTGTTGGCAATTTCTGTTATCGCCAACAATTCGCTTAAGGCAACAGCGTTAAATTCTGACTTTGCAATGAATGCAAATGGCCACCGCCTTGCACGAAAAATGACGGAATAATTTAAACAAAATTGAATTATTACCAGGCAGAGCCGTCAACCAATATCGAGTAATGAAAGCAAACATATTTAGTGTAGTGCCCATCGTTATCAGTAATTAGTTTCAACCCCAAACACATGGCTGGGTATACAAAAAGATTCCCGGCATTAATCGAGTGTTGCCACAACTTCTGGGGCAGGTCATTTAACCCGGAGCGGCACTTTCATTAGCATTGGCATTCTAATTGGCCAACGGTAGACGTAGACAAAACCTGATTCCGTCTCGTGATGAGGTAATAGAACGAAGCCTATATCGCAACACTGATCTGCCGTGTTAGACCCGGCGAATCGCGGTATGTATGTAGGTAATTACCGCGAATCAAAAACAAATTATTGGCTTGAATAACTCACAGAAATATCAAATAAATACTGCGCTTTATTTGGAAACCCCAGGTCAGATGCTGTCCACATGTTTGTCCCCCTGAATTTTCAATCATTTGCAGTTCCACGAAGCCAAACGACAAGCGGCCAGCATGAAATTTCTAATAATACGAATGGACATACATGTGTATTGCAGCTATCACATAAAACAATCTTTACGGGGCGTGGGTTTTTTATTTCTAAAAACATTTAAGCAAACATGTGGAGGGCGTATTGTCCAGGGAATCATTTGGCATAACTCCAATAATTTAGTTTTGGGGTAATAAAAGAGAGTTATTCGGGCCGTACTTATCGAAAAGTAAATGGTTTGAAGTGGAAAAACAATCACAAAGCCCGTGGGTGCTATAAATAGCAAGAGCCCAAGTCAACTGGGACCAAGTTAATAAGAAATACCCGATGGAATTCAATAAATCGAATTGGGACTACCCTTTCTTTAGTTTTCAAATAAAAAAGCATTTTGGTAATTACGTAATTGAGTAAACATTATAATAATAGTAACCTACAAATGCACTTATCTATGGACAAGGTCCATCAACCCCTTTAATCGTATTAACAAACCGCCGTGTTTACAAACTTTGTATTTCTTTGCCATTATGACTCATCTAGCTTCACCGATTCCCATCGAATCTTAGAGGTTAATGCGAAACAGGCAAATGACGGAAAGATTAACGTGTTTGAGCCATCGAAAATCAATACGTCACGTATTGATAAATCGTAGGAATATTCAATGAGCCGAAAGGGAAACGGCCCAAAGTCCCAACCACCCACAACGTGAAGGGTATGGGCATACAGCAACTGGTGATACGACTGGCTGGCAACTTAATTGGAGGAATTGTGTGCCGAGAACGCTTGTCGAGATTGCGTATATACGTGAGACTCTTATCAGGCCACAGGCACAATACAAAACATAACGCAGCGAGAGTGAAAATAATAGAGCACGAATGGCGGGAGAAAGATCTATCCTAGGCAATTACATCTTCTGTGCGATACGAAACAACGCGATGAGCTCATCGAGCGCATATTTGTGCAACACATTTTGCACTTCAAATGGCGAGTGCAACACCCTGGGGAAGTGGTAATTTTCCAGGAGGGAAATGAGATAGTATATGAACAGATAGCTATTTTAAATCTTAAAAAAAAATGTAAATGAAAACTTTACTATGGAAATACTGCGTGAATTTCTGTAAATTAAAGTCTTACTACATATTGTGACAATAGAAATAATAAGTATTAATTAAACTACTAAAAAAAATAAAATCTTGGTTTTGAAGAAGTTTAAAGTAAGATTCCCCTGTTTTACTTTGTAATAAACACCTAAAATTAACCACACAAATTTTTTTTATCAAAACTTTAATCTTCCCATATTTTTGGAGTTCGTGATTCACGTTAATTTAATTCAAAAAGTATTACAAATCCTACCAAAAACAAATTGTATATAAGTTTAAAAAAACTTGAGTGAGAAAGTTCACCATAACATAGTCTTTTGAAAAGTTTTAGTTTTTTTTTTTAAGTTTTTTAAGTAATGGAAGTAAGTAATCAATTCATAAATCTATTTATATCCGTTACTCGTAGAGTAAAAGGGTATATTAGATTCGTGCAAAAGTATGTAACAGGTAGAAGGAAGCGTTTCCGACCCTATAAACTATATATATTCTTGATCAGGATCACTAGCCGAGTCGATCTAGCCATGTCCGTCTGTCCGTCTGTCCGTCTGTCCGTCTGTCCGTCTGTCTGTCCGTCTGTCTGTCTGTATGAACGCTGAGATCTCGGAGACTATAAAAGCTAGAAGATTGACATTTTGCATGCAGATTCTAGGAGTTCCTACGCAGCGCAAGTTTGTTTCAAAAGGGTACCACGCCCCCTCTAACGCCACAATCGCTTATATACGATTTTAAAAATTTCAATATTTCGGAAAAGTAAAAATGCAGTTTTATTGTGTTTATCAATACCTAACGAAATGTAGAAGAAATTTTTTAAATCGGACCATTCGTTAAAAAGTTACGGCGGATCAAAGGAAGGAAGGAGACTTCGCACTCCCTTTAGCTGAGTAACGGGTATCTGATAGTCGGGGCACCCGACTATAGCGTTCTCTCTTGTTTTTTTTTGATAACTTTTTTATAGCATTTTTTAGCTCTTATCAACTTATTTTTTATTTCGTGATTCACTGTTTTAGCTTACGTTATTTTCATCCGGCAATAAATTTCTTTAAAAAAACAGGGAAATAAATATTATGTATATTATATCTACATTTTTTATTATGTCTACATTTTTTAGAAAGTTTAAATTCCTATCAATTTTTAGAATAAGGGTGTGAGTATTCCTTAATAATCTTTTCCTCTCCTAAAAACCCATTTTTGATAAGAAGGACCCTTATGTGCCGTCTTATGTTTCGTCTAAATTTTTTAGAAAGTTTAAATTCCTAACAATTTTCAGAATAAGGGTGGGAGTATTCCTTAATAATATTTTCTTTTCCTCAAAACCCAGTATTTGATAAGAAGGACCCCTATGAGCCATCATATGTTTCGAATCCCACACTTAGGTCCGTCAAATGGGGGTGCCGTGAAAGTGGGAAGTGGGAAAGTGGAGTGCCCGCGTAATTACCATCTGCTATTGTCCAGCGTATTTCGCTGGTCACCGGATCGATGGCCGTCAGTCCGCCGCCCAGAGTGGAGAACACCATCAGCGCCTCCTCGTCGCGGGCCAAATCCGTGCAGTCCTGCGGTTGGAGAGACCGGGTAAAGTTATGACCAACATATCGAAGGCGGGTGATGAAATATTAATTGACGGGGCGCCCAATGTTAACCCTTAGTGGGTCACCGTGCCGTGTCTCCACTCACCGTCTTCTCATCCTCGCCGCTGCTGACGACTTCTGCCGAGTCGGCCTGTTTGGCTTTGGCTATAGCTGATGCAATAGGCCCGCTGGCCAGCAAAAATAACACGCAACAAACCACAACGCAGAATCTCATTTTGCAAAACACAATCGGCTTCTACAGCCGGTCGGGGGGTGGGGGGAAATTAAGAAAGAGCGAGAGAGAGGGAGCACTAATTTCTGCGATTTCCGATCCGTTTTCAGTTTGCACTTGCAGTCACTTTTGGTTTGTTGTTTCTGGCATATTATCGCCCCTTCTTGATGGCTTTTCAATCCTTAAACACTGTTTGTCAGCCTTGCCGGGGTTAACTTTACATTTTCATCGCACTCGCGTTCAATATTTTCCAATTACATTCGCCATTGTTGAGTTGAGAATTTGTCGAGTGAGCGGAGTAGAGTGACAGTGGGCGGATAGTTGGAAAAGACCAGGGTTTCAGTGTGACCATATCGCGCAGTCTGCAGAATGTCAGATCATGTTGCAGGCCGTTCACACAGGTCGCTGTTGTGGTAGATAAGGATGTTCCTGCGTTACTTATTAAAAAATATGTTACTATTCTCGAGATTCTCAATTTTTGAACTTTAAAAACTATTTGGATTTCCTGTATTCTTCACTTAGAATAAATTCATTAACCATGTTAAATGTAGCTGTAAGTGCAACTGCGTCGCCTGTGTGAACGTCTGCTAAACACTTCGATAAATTACACAATGCGGCTTGTTTTTACGGCTAATTCCGTTTTTAAACGCCTGCTGCACACGGAAATTGCCGGAAAGTATGCCAAGCAGCAGCCGCGGAACCTCAAGGGCCGGAGCAAGAGCTCCCAGGAGTGGCTCACGCGGCAGCTGGCGGATCCGTATGTGGAGAAGGCCCGCATGATGAACTATCGCTGCCGCAGCGCCTTCAAACTGATGGAGATTGATGACAAGTACGGAATCCTGCGGCCAGGCGACACAGTTCTGGACTGCGGAGCAGCTCCTGGTAGCTGGACCCAAGTGGCCGTGGAGCGGACCAATGCCAATGGAAAGCAGGAGCGAGCGGCACAGGGAGCCGTCTTTAGCATCGACCTGTTGCATTTCCATGCTGTGCCGGGTGCCACAATCTTCGGCGGCATGGATTTCACCTCCTCCCTAGCACAGAAACGATTGAGGGAGTCCTTGAAGGACAGAAGGGTCAACTGCGTGCTCTCCGACATGGCGCCCAATGCCACCGGAGTGAGGATGCTGGACCAGGAGAGCATCACGAACCTCTGCTACGAGGTGCTCCGCTTTGCTTTGGCCATGTCCGCCCCGCAGGCCCATCTGGTGGTCAAGGTGTGGGACAATGGGGATGTGCCCAAGCTGGAGCGGGACATGCTTAGGTTTTACGAGAAGGTTAAGCGCGTGAAACCGCGCGCCAGTCGCGGGGATTCGGCTGAACACTTCCTGGTGGCCAGGAACTTTAAGGGAGCACCGGATAGTTGATTAATTATAGCCTTAACTTGTTGATAGTCATTTGTTTTATTAAAATGTTGTTAAATCTTTAGGGCTTGTACTCAACCCAACAAAAAGTCGTCCAAAACGTCATATAAAAAAAACGTAAAGAAATTTTATTTCATATGAAGTTTTTTGTTTCGGAGGACTTTTTGTTGGGTTGAGTACTAGCCCTCAAGATAAATAAAGGGGAGTGTTCCCTAAAGATCTTTAGAAATAAGCCTAAATTGTATCTAGCCTGTAAAGTCATTTGTTTTAATAAAACGTTATTGTTAAAACCACTTTCAACCACTTCACTTTCAATTAAGACAATAATAAAGGGGAGTTGTTATTAAACAATTTATTGTAAAACCATATAATCTCTAGATCACATTAGATAAAAAATTAAAGGGGAGTTTTTGAATTTTTTGTAACAGTAGCAAAGAGATTTATTAAAAAACTCAACACCATTTATTTTAGATAGATTTCATAAAAATATAGATCATTAAAAAGGAGTATAGTATTGTAAAAAACATGATCTTTACTTTCAATTAAGACAATAATAAAGGGGAGTTGTCATTAAACAATTTATTGTAAAACCATGTAATCTCTAGATCATATAAGATAAGAAAATTAAAGGGGAGTTTTTGAATTTAGGTAACAGTTTAAAAACTTAACCCCCTTTATTCCAGATAGATTTCATAAAAATATAGATAAATAAAAATGAGTATAATATTTTTAAAAACATTGTCTTCACTTTTAATTAAGACAATACTAAAGGGGAGTTGTCATTAAACAATTTATTGTAAAACCATGTAATCTCTAGATCACATTAGATAATAGAATTTAAGGGGAGTATTTGAATTTAAGTAACAGTCGCATAGGTATTTATTTAAAAACTCAACCACATTTATTCAAGATAGATTACATAAAAATATAGATCATTAAAAAGGAGACCAACTTGTATTTTGAGTATGCATTAGTGCTTGTAGTGAGTAAGGTGGTTGATCATCTCGTACAGCCACTTGGGTTGATCATGGGGAGCCATATGCCCGGCATTGCGCACCATGATCTCCACCAGATGACCAGCGTGCTTCACATAGCCGGCCACCTCGCCATCGATGCGCCAGATCTCACGCGGAGCCACCTTGTACTTTTCCGAGCCGGGAAACTTGAGATGGTTCAGGTAGTTGCGAGTCAGCGGATAGGCCACAATAATGTCCAGCTGCCCGCTGTAGATGCAAACCGTGTAGTGGGCCAGCAGTTCGGCTATCCACGGAGCCACGCTGTCCATCACGTCCTTCTTCAGGTGAAGTTCCACCTTGTTCTCCTTGTCCAGGTCATGGAATGGCTTGTTGCCCACATGAATTGCTCGACGGGTGGCTCCCGACTGCAGGAAGTTGCCCAAGTTGGCGCCATCATCGTCGTGCGTCTTCAGGTAGTTGTAGTACCAATTGTAGCCCGTCAGATTGCTGAACAGCGAACCATTGGTCAGATCTCCATTGATCAGGGAATCGAAAACGTCGAAGGCGCACTCCATGTCGCGCTTTTCAATGCAGGCGGCTCCCTTTGCTTCGGCATCGTGGAAGCTCTGCAGACCGTGCTCATCAATCAGGCCCAGCTGATACAGGTAGTCACCATACTTCAGCTGATGCAGTGGATCCGAGAGACCATTTCCGATGGCCACGCCCTTGAGCGGCACATAGACGCGCGTTTCGATGGCATTCTGCACCTTGTGAATGTGGTAGGCCAACGCAGGCACATACTTGCCCGCATAGGACTCCCCGGTGACCCAGAATCCAGAAGAGTTGCGCCACTCGAACAGCTCGTACAGCTGCATCACAGCCTCGTGAAGATTGCGACCCACGTCCTTTTCGTTTTTGGCATAACCCGCATCGTTATCCGTGAAACTAAAGCCAGTGCCCACGGGATTGTCGATGAAGATGAGGTTGTGGGTCTTGCTCCAGGTGTAGTTACGCTTTTGCAGTTTTGCGTGCTCATCCAGCTCCAGGGGACCATTTTCCGTGAACAAACCGAACAGGGAGGAGGCTCCTGGGCCGCCCTGTAGCCACAGGACCACTGGAGCATACTCAGGTTCCTTCTCGGCAGGGAAGTACCAGAAGAACATGTTGGAATTGAAGCCCTCATCCACGGTCAGGTAGCCCGAGTAGCTCTCCACTCCATGGAACTGGGAACCCGTGACTCGGGCCAGTTTCTGCACTTCTGCGTTGTCAATGGAGGCATTGTTGATCAGGGGCGTTAGGAACAGGGGCTCCCCAGGATCGACGCCATCCTCGAAGAACTGGAAACGGGGATACGGATTGATGAAGCTCCGCCTATAGGGGCGTTCCGCCTCCTTCCTTCCTTGGGCTCCACATATGGCGACTATTATCGTCGCGATAATTAGAAATGCGCAATGAGTTGCAGTTCTCATTGTTCGACTGCGCTGCTTCGACTGGAAAAAAGATACGGAATTGTCAGTGGCTGCTTTGTTTCGGCTTCCCATAGCTGTTTACGGCCCGACCTACTCACCGATCGGCCGATAATGGGTTATATATTAATCAGTTCTTGCACTCTGCCTTGCTTCCCTTTTCGCACAGCCGGCAAAAAAAACTTTCTAAATATCTTTCAGTGTAGTCGTAGCGGTCGAATTGTAGGGTTGCCGCGTTTTTTAAATATATGTATGATCAGCTGTGATTTTCTGTAGGGGATTCTATAAACAGATAAGGATTGGTTAAACTAGTTAAAGCTATTTAATTTCAATATATTTACATTTTAATAGAATTTGCAATGAAAATATATATACATCACCAGTAAAAAATGATCAAGTTCTATTGATCTTCAAAATCAAAACAAAATATTATTATGCCACTGTTTTTGATAAAATTTTAATTTCTAAGATTTTTTAACATGAATTATATTTAAAAAAAAAAAAAGCTTTAAACTTGCTACATTTATCTTCATATTATGCCACACTGAATATTAAAAGAGATTTGGGAATCCCCCAATTCAGTCTGTTAGTACCAGGGAACCAATAAAAACCGGGGCCCTAAAACGTATATTTTTGAGTTTATTATCAGGGACCGTAAATAATCATTATTTGAGATTTTTATTTTAAAAGGCCTACTGAGGTTTTTACAAGTTTTAATCAACAATTTAACTGGTTTTTATGCACTTTATAGACATGAACAAATAACAGCTAATTTGCTTTCCAGATTTGTTGAAATGCATATACTTTGTGGACAAGAGTAAAAAGAACGTTATTTTTGATGTTTAAAACCAAATATCAAAGTAGTCTTTTTAAAATAAAAATCACAAATAACTGTTATTTACGGTCCCTGATATTTATTGCTCTATTTTTGGGCCTTTCTCCAAAAAAAATCACCATTTCGTTTTAAATCAGACGTGAATAAATTCTGAATTCAGATTTCCAGAATCCAATCGATTAGAAACATCGACTAATACGCCAGTCCGGCAACGCCCGGGCATTTTGCGTCAAAATTGTTAGTAGCTGCAGCTGATTCTCCATTTCCTAGCGCCAAACAAAGTTTGAGCATTAGTACACAATGTCAGTCGCCGACACCATTGAATACGTGACCCTGGGCAATCCTGTCAGCAAAATGGTGGCTTCATCCGCATCCGCACTGCTCCGCACCCTAGTAATAATCGAATTTTCCCCGCCGAAGTTCCGGGTGTTCAGTACTGATTATGCTTTGTTTTTCCCCGCAGGGTTTGCGCCCCAAGAAGGTGACGGTGCAGGACACGAACATGGCTTTGCTTCCGTCCGCGCACAGCTACGTGCATCCCCACGGATCGCTATATTGCCTCGCCGGCAGCCACTACCACTTTGTGCGGCTAGCCGGGATCGGCGGAGCGTCGGCCATCTTTATGGGTGCCTACTGCAAGTACGTCCTCAAGGACGTCAGCGATCCCAAGGAGCAGGTGGACTCGCAGGCATTCGCCGATGTGGCCAATCGCATCCACTTCCTGCACTCCTTCGCCATGATGGCCATGCCGCTGGCCCACTATCCCGTGCTCGTAAGTTTAGATTGGGGGAAGTCCCAGAAGATAATTACCTGTTAAGTAGTGGTTCTTAAGCCATTAAGTGCCTTGTTGTATACACAGAGAAAAAAAGACCAAAAATAGTCATCGATCGGGTATTTTTTCATATCAATTTTGGTCCCATCTATATTCATATCAAAATGATATTTCCGAACATATGATAAACATAAAAATGTACCATATTGATATGAAATCATACCATTTTGTTATGGAAAATTGATATGAAACAATATCAGTTCCATATTTTCCCTTTTTTTCTTCTATAATATCAGCTATTATGTTCGTAATTTAGAAAATAGATTCCAACTGCCCCAAAAAACAGAGAAGGTCACAGAAATCTACTTACTACGCCTGAAAAATGAAGATATTTACGTGTTTAGTTTAGTTCTTATGAAGAACAGCCATTAGTTGTTTGGTTGTATATCTCATTTAGATATTCGTCTATAATACCAGCTATATTAGCTGAAAGATAATATCACGTTATGTTCGTAATTTAGAAAATAAATTTCAACTGGCCCAAAATACAGGGAAGGTCCCAGAAACTCCTGAAGAATGAAGATATTTACGTGTTTAGTTATGATTCCTATGAAGAACAGCCATTAGTTTTCTTGTTGTATATCTCATTTAGATTATCTTCTATAAGACCAGCTCCATGCTTAAAGATAAAATGGGATTTTTGTAATTAGAACTACTCTTCAGTTTTCATCTGGTTCTCCTTACCGTGCTTACTAATTTCGAAAGACGGAAGATATTTACCTGTTTAGTTATTGTACTTTCTTCTATAATAACATCTACAAGATAATATCCCAATTATTGAGTTGGCTCTTCAGTTTTTTTATTTTTTCCAGGATTTGTTTTTAGGACATCCCAAAACCCCAAGTATATCACCACTTTCCCAAATCGATCGTATTTGGTTTATTTGTAAAGCTTTTCTTTGTCGGTTTTTGTCGTTTACATAAACACTCTGTGTAAAGTTAGATCTCTGAACGGAATTTATAACAACTCGCGTTACTCTCGAATCGAAACTCCAACACTGATACTCGTATAATTGACACTCTGCTTAGCTAGTCTAATGCGCTGATTGACATTACAAAAATTGAGCTATGAATGAATATTGAATTCGGCCAAGCGCTTATTCCAAGATACTTCTTCTCCTTCGTACTCTCTATATAATAGGTATGCATATGTATATTCATGTTGTATATGAAATGTTTCCAAAGCTAAAGCTAAATGTTCAACAACCACTAATTGCAGCTTACAAAGTAATTTTCAATACCACACACGATACTTGTATAATTGGATTAATTCGGATAATTCTTAGTTTTGTGATATGAGCAGGTTCATAGCTGATATGGGTTCGGGGTCTTTGGTAGGAATTTGTTAATTTATTTCAATATTACAATTGTATTTTAAAAATGTACCAAAAAGGCATAGATTCTCTTGATTCTTTTTTTTTTTTGCTGTTATTCTGTAATTGGGTTTTGTTGTCATCAGCCTTATTTGATAAGTAAAATTTGGAGCTTGCTCGTGCTCCGTTTTGTTCAGGTTAAAGCCAACAACTAAAGCTAACATCAAAAATATGCACACAAAACTCGCGCCACCTTCGCTAACTTCTAATCTTAGATAATAAACTGTGACTATGGGGCCTGTTCCGTATTTTTAAAAGGAAATGCACTCTTAGATAGGGTGATGAATTGAATTTGTGGTTAAAGAGTATTTTTTATCGGTTCTGGTAAATAAGAGTTATTTTTCCTTTTCTTACATATTGTATTATTTGTTATTTAGTTTGATTCCTTACTGTGGACATTTAAATCCTATAAATTCTTTTTCTTGAGGCAACTCAAGAACAGTTTGGTATCCTAAAATCGATTGGTTACAATAGTCGATTGATTTATTGAGTTATTGGAACAGGCCCGCATCCATGACATTGATTACTTTGAGTAAAGTGACTCGTTTTCTCCCGCAGACTGGGACTTTGATGATTACGGGCACGATGCTATTCAGCGGCTGCATGTACTACCGCGCTCTCACTGGCGAAAAGGGGCTGCAGCCGTACGCGACCGTCGGAGGATTCTGCCTGATGGCCGCGTGGCTGTCGCTGGTCCTCTAGGATGAGCGGAGGAAGGAGGAAGGCTACTTATGTATATCTTATATAGCACATTCTGAACAGTTATGTAGTCAGAGAGGCAACTAAAGCTAAGCCAAGTTTAACATACAACATCAGCTAAAAATGAATCTCGTGTCTGTGTTTCTCTAACCGCGACGGGCAGTAAATTTCAATAATTATAGTTAGTTTTAAAGTGAACTCTAGGAGGGCCTTGCAGCTAATGGAAGATACGTTTGAGTTTGAGTTAAATGCGTACAATTTCTTAGAGTATATAGCAGTTAGCCAAATGTAAATCGCTAAAACGAAATAAACAAAATAAAAATAAAAATGTGTTAACAAAAGAACCAACCGAGCTGTTACATTTATTGTATACCTGTACATTAATAAATTACTATAAAAAACACACATATATATTAATACTAGGCGTAACACTTCATAGAATTCTCTTTTAGTTTTTTCCTTTTTTTGGGGATTTTTTTTTGTTTAAGGTTGTTATTGTCGTTTTACTGGAACACATAATACAAATGCAATGCGACCTTTTGAAGGCCAATGCACAAAGTTCAGCTAAAATTAATTATTGCACAATTTGCATTTCATATCAATCTTTCTGTTTAAGGTATAAAAACATTTACTCTCTACGCTCCACTAACATCAGCTTATTATTGTCTTGCTGTTTTGATTTACCATCAGTTTCATCCTAGTTTTATACACCTGACTAACAATTATTTTTTGATTTGTACACGTATTGTAAAAAAAAGTTCCTCAGCGGCCGCTCAGTGTGGATGTCTGCTGGTGCCGCCGATGCTGTGCTATCCTAATAACTTCTGCTTGGAGGCCTCCGCAAAGAGGAAGGTCTTCTGAATGCCCGCATTGGCCGCCGGATGATTCGTAATTGGTTCCAGTATCTTAAGTATGTAGTCTTTAAAAGCCTTCGGAACGGCGAAATGTCAAGAATCCTTCTTGAGTCTTAGGTTGTCATCATGGGCCTGTAAGAAAAAGGGGCATAATTAGAATAAATATAATATAATATATTAAAAAGTATACCCACCTTCTGGGCCACCTTCAGCAGGGCATCGAAAGTCGAGTCTCCCGTCTGCTTCACCATGCTGTGGAACACCTTCTTCTCGCTGGTTGTGAGCAACTCGAACGGCGAGCCGAACTCCACCGCCTTTCCGGCATCCATGACCAGCACCTTGTCAGAATCCATAACAGTGTGCAAACGATGGGCAATTGTGAGCACCGTGCAGTCCTTGAATTTGTTCCTAATTGTCGTCTGGATGAGAGCATCCGTTTGGGGGTCCACATTAGCCGTTGCCTCGTCCATCACCAGAATGCGATTCTCGCGAAGAATGGCCCTAGCCAAGCACACCAACTGTCGCTGGCCCACACTGAAGTTGGTGCCACCCTCGGATATCTTGCTCTGCAGACCGCTGGGCAGATCGGCCACCACATGCTTGAGCTTAACCTCCTCCAGGGATTCCCACAGCTTGGCGTCGCTGTACTCGTCGAAGGGATCCAGATTGTAGCGCATGGTGCCCGAGAAGAGTACCGGTTCCTGGGGAATAATCGAGATCTTGCTGCGCAGATCGTGCAGTCCCAGATCGTTGGTGTCGCGCCTGTCGATCAGAATGGCGCCCTCGTTGTAGGACAGCCGGAACAGAGCGTTGATCAGCGAGGATTTGCCGGCACCAGTGCGTCCCACAATGCCAACCTTTTCGCAGCCCTCGATAGCAATGTTCAGCGAACGCAGCACATAGTCGGCCGCCTTGTCGGGGAAGTATTTCAGCGACAGGTCGTCGAACACGATCTTTCCATCCTCTGGCCAATCCTTTGGCGGCTTCTTGTTCGGCTTGGACTCAAAGTCACCCTCGGGCTCCAGATCCTCATACTCCACCACTCGTTCCACCGCCGTCATCGTGTTCTCCAGCTCCGCGGACTGTCGCATTCCCCACTGCACCATGCCGGTCATGCCCATCGCCTGGGTAATGGCCAGACCCACATCGCCACCGTTCTCGGGGGAGAACAGGAAGAAGCTCAGGGTGATGACAGCTATGTAGACGACGCACACACAGTCCAGCCAATAGCCAAAGGCTCGACTCGTGGCCAGGAACATGTAGTAGCCGGAGCTGTGCATATCCTGGTAGTTGTCGAACTCGGCAATTAGTTCCTTTTGGGCGCCAAATGCTCGGATGGTGGGCAGGCCGTTAAGGGAAGCACTCAGGTGGGAGTAAATGGGTGATCGGGCTGTATAATTGGAGTTATAGAATTAAATATTGCAAGAAAAGAGTGTAGACCAGTGGTGGCCAGCAGAGGCAGCGCGCAGGGAACACGGAATAGGCAATTTCTCTGCCGCTGCGATGCCAGCGTTTCGACGCTCACGCACGCTGCTTCTGCAGGCCACTGGTATAGGCTTCTTAATATCCACTTACTGACAGCTTCGAGGCGCTTAACATCTCGGGATGTGCTCAGATAGAAAACGCGTAGGATGTAGAAGATGATCACTAGGAAAACCGTTGCCAGGATGTACCACACATTGACGATACACAGGACGACGACGATACCAACGATGGCGAGGAAGATCTGCATCACGTCCATCATCACAGAGGGCAAAATCTCATCCACCTGACCCAAATCCTTGGAGAAGCGATTGAGGATGCGGCCGGAGGGGTTCGTGTTGAAGAAATGCATCGCTGCCCGGGTGACACCTTGGAACATGGTGTTGTGCAGCGTCGTGGAGCTGCGCATGGCCAGGTAGAAGAAGAGCATGCTCCGCACCAGCGAGAAGACGATCACGGACACGTTGATGCCGGTGAAGTAGTAGATGTCCACAGGGTCAGTGTCGGCGTTAATGCGGGTTTCGGGGAAGGCGCGCCTCAGTCGGGCCATAAATGTGTCACGCTCGGCTTCACCATTCTTGTTCACCCTGAAATTAAATGTTAAAGGTTAGGTTAAAGGTTATGAACGCTAAGATCTTGGAAACTACGAAAGCGAGAAGGCTGAGATTTCCCACACATATTCTTGGGCTTCCTACGCAGCGCAAGTTTATTTCAGCCGAGCGCCACGCCCATTCTAACGCCCACAAAGTCTGGCGCCCACACCTTTAAAGATTTCCGAGAAGTATAAATGCAATTTTATAGTGTTTATAAATACCTATCGAAAAGAAGAAGACATTTTTCAAATCGGATCATTCATTAAAAAGTTATGCGCAATCAAAATGTTAATTTCCCTCCCACTACCTTTAGCTGAGTGACGGGTATTAGAAAGTCGGGACACCAACCCGACTATAGCGTTCTCTCTTGTTTTAAGCGTGAATAGACTTACCAGTAGGACAGGAAGATATCACCACCAGAGGCCAGCACCTGGGCACCGATGCAGAAGAAGGCAAACACGATAAACAGTCCGTAGCCATTCGCTCCAAAGTACTTCTTGTACAGCTTCATGCCGATCCGTCCCTCCACGCGACCCTCCTGCGTTTGCATGGGCGACTCCGCGGCCACAGACTCGGCGGCCGATTCCATGGAGGAGATGCTGCCGTGTCGGTCGCGCAGCTTGCTGTTCTGCCGCGAGAGGCTCTTCTTCTCCGCCGCATCGCCGGCGGCACCCTCGTCCTTCTTGCTGGGATCCGTCAGCATCTGGGCAAAGTCCAGGCCGCTCTTGGTCATCGACTCGTAGGAGCCCATGGCGCTGATCTTGCCCTTGTCCATGATCACAATCACATCGGCCTGTTCCAGGAACTGCAGTTGATGGGTGACCAGCAGTACGATCTCCTCGCGCAGGAATCCACGCATGCACTGATCGAATAGATGACGTCCTACGTGGGTGTCCACGGCACTTAAGGGATCGTCCAGCAGATAGATGTCGGCCTTCCGGTAAACAGCTCGGGCCAAACTGATGCGAGCCTTTTGTCCGCCGGATAGAGAAGCTCCCCGCTCGCCCACAATCGTCTTGTCAGCATACGGCAGCAGCTCGAAATCCCGCTCCAAGGCGCACTTCTTGACCACCGTGCGGTAGCGATGCTTGTCCATGGGCAGGCCAAAGAGAATATTCTGGCGCACGGTGCCGGTGAAGAGCCACGGCTCCTGGGAGGCGTACGAGAGGGTTCCGTTGACCTTCACCGAACCCGAGTCCGGGCTGAGTTCACCCAGCACGGCCTGAATCAAGCTAGATTTACCGGAACCCACGGGCCCAATGACCGCCACCAGTTGGCGGGGCTTGAACTTCAGCGAAACGTTGTCCAGCGTGTTTTCCGTGCTCTTCTGATCCCACTTGGCCTTCAGTTTGCTGATAATAACACCATGCTCTGCTTCACTGCTGCGCCTGCTGTTGGGCTTCAGGACACCAGTGGTCTGGGCCACCGCGGGCTCGGCGATCAGACCCGCCTTGCCCAGCTTCTGCTCGTCCAGATCCTCCGACTTGTCGCGCACCTTCGTCTCCTCGTGCAGCATGAAGGTCTGAATGCGGCGGATCGAGACCAGGAGCTCGGCAAACTGCGAGATGCCCATGGGGAAGTAGACGGTCATGGTGTTGCGCAGGATGTTGTAGTAGGCGGTGATCACGAAGGCCTTCTCGGCGGTCAAAAGCTTGCCGAGCAGCACGAATCCCACCAGGCTCACAAAAACCGATATTCTCGTCACGAACATAATGAAACTTTGGAGTGTTCCTCTGATGTAATTCACATTGCGAATGGCGTTCATCTCCTTGGTGCGCACATAGTTGATCATCTTGCTGAAGGGAATCTCCCACGCGTACATCTTGATCACTTGGATGCCCGAGATGATCTCGTTCATCATGCGCACGCGTTCATCCGTCCGCAGAGCCGTTTTCAATCGCAGCACCGATGTCTTCTTGCCCAGATAAGCTTGCAGGGGTATAAACAGCAACATCACGGCCACGCCAAAGAAGGCGGAGATACCAATCTGTAAAAAATAATAGTAGTATTAGAGAGGAACTAAAATTAATCAGATGTACTGTATTAAAAACTACGGATTTTTACTTTTTTTTTAGATACCTAAATCCTAATCCTAAAAGATTCCATAGATACCAATCAATAAATAATATTATTAAAGTAGAACTAATTTAAATGAGATGTACTGAATTATAAACTACGGATTTTTACTTTTTTTT